TTATAAACAATTGAAAGTCGTTTTCCACATTTCATACTTCACTGACTCTCTGTTTTAGCACTAATTTTATTACAATTACGAAACAAAAAGTTTTATTAAAGACTGTCTTTCCATTTGATTTGAAGATTTATAAACGTAAATGTATTTCTAGGAAATAACTCAATCTTACAATAATACAACTTAAAACAATATAAATGCATTTCAATAAAAACTTGCTCAAACATCCTAATAGAATAACTTAAGAATTTTAGTGTAAAATAAATGTTTCAATTATTATCATGTTTGGCATTAATTGTCAAATTTTTTATAATAAATTATGATACAAGAATGTTTGCAAACACTTATATATTACATGATTAACAATACAAAAATCACTTACTCTATGATTACTATGAATCGTTAGATTACTTTTATTGGCGTTATTATCGTTGAAATTCCCATTTAAACCAAATTCGGTGTCATTTTGATTGACTAAAATACAAAAAGTATTTAAAAACACTGATTAGCTAAACACCAATCAATTGATTGATTTAGTAAAATACCAAAATGATTGTTAACATTAATGAAAGTTTCATGCATTTCGGCCAATCCATCACCACATTTATCATTCACTATATCCTGACTCCTATTTAATTCATGATTAGATCCATTTTTCAGATAATTAGCGCCCTTTTTCTTGTTGGCTTTTTTAATTTGTTTAAACGACCGTTTGTTAAAACCATTATTGAATACATTGTCAAATAATTTATGCCCACTCTTAGACTCTGCCCTTTGGTTATTAATGGCGTTTGTTTGGGTGACTACTCGACTATCATTTTGAAGCAAATCTTCCATTATATAAATGTTTTGGGGATCAGTGATAGTGTGATCGCTGGCATCACTGCCATCACTGCCACCATCGCTATCATTGCTATCGCTATTACTTTCAATTCCTAACACAGAGTCTATGGAAGTGACCGAACATAACAGTCGGCGCTTTGTATTCATAAATGGATTTGTATTTCTATACAAAGATTCGCTATTTTTATCATTAAGTAGAATATATTGGGAACTGTTTTGTGGACTCTTTTCAGGACTATTCTGTGAACTACTTTTAAGTGTAATTTCAGGAATATTTGTATTATTAAGTAATGTTTGCTTTTCATGTATTGTCTGCTCATTGAAAGTGATATCATCGTCAGGTATGGGTGTATGGTATGACTGTTCTGTCATTTCAATTAAACGATTCAAATGAGTGGGAATGCTATGAGTGGGTATCGCATAGAAATTTTTGCGATAGGCTTTCAATAAATCAAAAGGATTTCCTTTAAAGTCTGAACGGACGGACAATTCATCGATAGGACGCCATTCATAGACAGGTATTTGTGAGCGACTTATCAATGGGGGTATAATTGGCATAACTATCGTTAGATTCCCACATGAAACTGATCTTTCAATACTAACGGCCGGCGTATCGCTTAAAAATGGATTTGTATTAATGACATGCAATTCACTGAACGGATTGTTATTAACATTGTTAGCATTGTATGCGAGAAATGGGTTTCGATCGGAACCGTTGTCTTGCAATTATATAATCATTATTATTAAGCACTACTCCTCGACACTAAACACATCAAAAAATATTGTGTTGTTTTATCGCTAAAATTCACGTAACTTTCAAATAAAAACCATTCAATAGTATTATAAATATTAAACAAATGACACCATCGGATCGTTTAGAGAAAGTTTGTTTTTGGATTTGTATTGAAAATATAAATGTTTTGATAACACTTAGCAATTATTATTCAACAAATTATACAATTTAATAATAATTTCAGCCTTGATTTTGCTCACAAATATCACAAACATAAATTTTTATGTAAAATGACAAATAAAGATGATTTTATATTCAATATATTCGGTTGGGTTGAAGGCTCAGGGTCTGTTTTTATATTGATTCTCTCCCTATTTATAGCTATAGTTAGTTTTATCTGAATGTCTGGTGCTTTGGTTTGAGTAAAATGCCATAACTTTGAGATGAAACAAGAATTGCATTCAAATTATAAACCTTTAACATAATTCAAAAGAAGCATTAATTACATGTAATGTATAGTAATATAAATAAGTTAGCAGTTTAGGGGATTCCCATAGGATTATCATTGGCCCATAGAAATAACAGTCTATTTTAAGGTATAGTCTTAGAACTAAACCATTTGAGATGATATGTGTTGGTCTTCTCGCTAATTGTTTATTATTTTACGGGAAAATATTGATTGTAAATCACAATCTTTATTATGTTGTGAATCACAACTTGTGATCGAGATTTTGATGTAATTTTCGTTCAGATATGACTTCAAATTTATTAAATTGAAAATAATTCATGAATGTCTTTATTTGGAAGTTCAGTGACTTTTTTGTCACTTTTCATTGCAATGAATTTATAAAACTAATTATTTATTGTGAAAACTAATATTTAATTCAATACTTTTTAAATAGTAAAAACAGATTTAAAAAGTTTTTGTTGTTAAAATATGTTTGTTTTGCAATTGTTTGAGTATTTTAGTACAATATACATATTTATTGTTATTTAAATGTAAATTATATATTTTGTTAATTAATGATAAATAATAAAATGCAAATTATAAATTTACAAAGACTGCTGGATATTCTGAACATTTTGTTAAATAAACAATAATTATGTAAAAACATAACAAAAATTATTTTATAACGCAAACAATTTTAAGTAAAATCTATTCATTTTAAATGTTTTGGGACAATGTTTGCAATTTTGTTTAGTTTGCATTTTCCTGTATATTATATTTCAAACTTTGTTTATTAAACATTATTTTCTTAACAAACAAAAGTTTTATCCCTTTCTCTCATTATATAAGAGTAAACTAAAAATAGGATTTAATTACAATTGAAATTAGAAGAAAATAATTAAATTCAGTCTACTATGCATAAAAATATTACTTGTTAGTATTTAATTACCCAAATAAATCTATAAAAACATAATATTAATAGACATAATTGAAATATGATGTAACTATAAGTAATTGTTTTACATTGAATCCAATAGTCAGTTAACTGCAAGATCTCAACGCAAGGAATTAAAATCTTAGTGAAAGCCTTTCGAGATAACGATTCTGTGGACGAAGAATCCATTCAATACGAACTCTATATGAATAGGTTTGAAGGAATGGTAAGCAAAACACTATTACTATTCATTCATTATATTCTCAAATCTAGTTTACAAAAATTAATCGCACATAAAATTTAATATTATATTTACAGATGAAAATTGTATGCATTAGTGAAGAGCAACTGTTTGTCGTGAGATTCGTTGAAAGACCCGATTTTAAGGCTAGTTTGAAACAAGTTAAAGGTCTTCACAATCAAAATCAGGTAAATATTATCGTTAATTACAGAGAAAAATACAATCAAACAGTCATTTGATGTGGAGATGAAAATATTTACTCATAATATTGTCGGATATCTATTGTGAATAAGCCATTAATGCTTCCCTTATATCTATTATATGTTTACTTATTTATTAGTTAATATCCAAAAGAAAATTGTGTCTCATTTTCATTCAATCATTTCCTGTGAATGTATTCCTAATTAATAGCAAAACGTTTTGAGTTTCATAACAAAAAAAAATGAAAATTCACTTTTGTGTTCATTATGTGTATTAATACAGAAAAGTAATGATAAATCATTTTTAATATAGAAATCAGAGCACAAGATCTCTGAGGACGCGATTATCAACGCTATAATAAACACAATCACCAAAACTGTTGTCGATTTGTGTCTTTCTGGTTATCAGGACTTCCCTCCATTCAAACGATCCGATCAACAAAACAATATTGGTTTAAATAAATCGGTGTGTATTAGGAATAAATGTTTACAATTTATATATTAATTAAATGACATTATAATTATAATAAATATGGATATAATTATCTCCACATGAAAATAGTCGCCCCAAAAATCAATTGAACGCAAACTGTTTGTCAAAGTTGTCAAAGCAAATGGTCTGACTGTTAATAACAAAGGTATGCATTAATTACAAATAACTTATCGTTATCTATAAGTTAGCGAATGCAAACTGTATTTGCAAATAATAATTGCAAATAAAATAAGTTTTACAAAAAATAATTAATAAAATTTAGTGATTTTAAGAAAAATTTATTCTGCCCTCAGGTATACACTCGCCGTACTGTGTGATAGAGGTGGACGAGCCCTCACAACAGGCCCACACCTCCACCATCAAGAATACGTCGAGTCCTGTTTGGAACGAACACTTCATTTTGTAATACATTTTTACTTTCATTCATTATCTGTTAATTATAATCGACGCAAACATAACCTGTTGTTTCCCTAATAGTAAACAATTTGATTAGATTTTATTTTATCGTTCATTTGTTTTGACAGTAATCTGAAAGAAGAATCCACTGAAATATTGTTTGAATTATACGATAAATCAAATGGTAATTATTTATACTCCACATGAAAATAGTCGCCCCAAAAATCAATTGAACGCAAACTGTTTGTCAAAGTTGTCAAAGCAAATGGTCTGACTGTTAATAACAAAGGTATGCATTAATTACAAATAACTTATCGTTATCTAAAAGTTAGCGAATGCTAACTGTATTTGCAAATTATATTTGTAAATAAAATAAGTTTTATGGCAAAGATATTGAATAAAATTTAGTGATTTGAATCGAAATCTATTCTGCCCTCAGGTATACACTCGCCATACTGTGTGATAGAGGTGGACGAGCCCTCACAACAGGCCCACACCTCCACCATTAAGAATACGTCGAGTCCTGTTTGGAACGAACACTTCATTTTGTAATACATTTTTACTTTCATTCATTATCTGTTAATTATAATCGACGCAAACATAACCTCTTAAAAGGGATTATCATTTGTTAAACTAATCTAAAATAAAATAGCAAGTAAACAAAACTGTCATTAGACTTTCTTCTTAGGTGACTTTATAACAAACTTAATATGCTATTTAGTTTACCATTAATAAATATTTTCACTTTCTTGTACTTATTATCTATTGTTTATTTGACAATTCAATGCACAAACTCTTTATTCAAAATATATTTTGTGTATTATTTTCAGATAAATTCTTGGGTTTAGGAATAGTAAGTGTCGAGGAATTGAAACGAAATCCCAGTCAGAATCAAGTGTTGAAACTACAGTCGCGGCCGTTAGAGACCGGACAACAAATATCTGGATCACTATCGGTGGAAGTGAGTGTGAGATTTAATAAACTAATTTATCATTTGGAAATTAATTGATAAAATAAATTAATGATTATGGTTGAAATTATTATAATAAATTGCTGTCAAACAGTTCCTATTCATCGAACACAGTAGCGATTCTTCTGACTGTAATTCCTCTAACTCTACACCACTCACGGGTTCGCCGAAGAATACAGGCCTCGAATACATTGAACAGAATATACTTAAGCCAAACGGATCTGTTATGAAGAATAACGGTTTGCACAAACATTTCTAAGAATTTTTTTTGTTTTCGCACAGAATCTTGTAATTTATAATAACAGTTAAGTTAAGCAGTTTTTAAGACCATTTAGCATATGGTATATTAGATTTATAGCGCTAATAGCTGTGCGATATTTGTGCTAAAGTCTAATAATAGATCAGTTATTTAACACATAATCTAATTCTCTAGTTATATAGTCTAATAGATTTGAATGTTTAAAATATTTTTTGCTTATTTTTAATTTGTATTAACATTTGCATTGAAAACCGAAAAGAAGTGCCGATTATAGTGAGCAGTGATGCGGACGAGGAGTGCAGCCAATTAGAGACAATACCCCATACAGTGTTGGATGTGATTGAAGAGCAAAGTAATCAACTAATAATTGCACGAAAAAAACTTTTTATTAAACCAAAATATGATTTTATTTTCTAACCAATACTATGTATAACCAAATAGATAATAGTTGTGCGACTGTTTCGCAAACTATGTCTTCGACACTTAACGTTCTGTTGCCAAGGCTAGCTTTGGGTAAAGAGCGTATGTTACGATTGTTACAATTATTGTTAGGCAAGTCACTTAACGTACAGTAATTATGTTTAGGTAAAAATTCGCTATGCGGCCGGCACAGTATTGAAAGATCAGTTTCATGTGGGAATATATCGATAGTTATGCCAATTATACCCCCATTGATAAGTCGCTCACAAATACCTGTCTATGAATGGCGTCCAATCGATGAATTGTCCGTCCGTTCAGACTTTAAAGGAAATCCTTTTGATTTATTGAAAGCCTATCGCAAAAATTTTTATTCGATACCCACTCATAGCATTCCCACTCATTTGAATCGTTTAATTGAAATGACTGAACAGTCATACCATACACCCATACCTGACGATGATATCACTTTTAATGAGCAGACAATACATGAAAAGCAAACATTACTTAATAATACAAATAGTCCTCAAATTACTCTTAAAAGTAGTTCACAGAATAGTCCTGAAAAGAGTCTACAAAACAGTCTCCAATATATTCTACTTAATGATAAAAATAGCGAATCTTTGAATACAAATCCATTTATGGATACAAAGCGCCGACTGTTATGTTCGGTCACTTCCATAGACTCTGTGTTAGGAATTGATAGCAATAGCGATAGCAATGATAGCGATGAGAGCGATGCTCGCAGTGATGGCAGTGATGCCAGCGATCACACTATCACTGATCCCCAAAACATTTATATAATGGAAGATTTACTCCAAAATGATAGTCAAGTAGTGACTCAAACAAACCAAATTAATAGCCAAAGGGCAGAGTCTAAGAGTGGGCATAAATTATTTGACAATGTATTCAATAATGGTTTTAACAAACGGTCGTTTAAACAAATTAAAAAAGCCAACCGGAAAAAGGGCACAAATTATCTGAAAAATGGATCTAATCATGAATTAAATAGGAGTCAGGATATAATGAATGATAAATGTGGTGATGGATTGGCCGAAATGCATGAAACTTTCATTAATGTTAACAATAATTTTGGTATTTTACTATATCAATCAATTGATTTGTGTTTAGCTAATCTGTGTTTTTAAATACTTTTGTATTTTAGTCAATCAAAATGACACCGAATTTGGTTTAAATGAGAATTTCAACAATAATAACGCCAATAAAAGTAATCTAACGATTCATAGTAATCATAGAGTAAGTGATTTTTGTATTGTTAATCATGTAATGTATAAGTGTTTGCAAACATTCTTGAATCATAATTGTGTAAAATTTGGCAATTAATTGAAACATTATAATAATTGAAACATTTATTTTATACTAAAATTCTTAAGTTATTCTATTAGGATGTTTGAGCAAGATTTTATTGAAATGAATTTATATTGTCTTAAGTTGTATTATTGTTAGATTGAGTAATTTCCTAGAAATACATTTACATTTATAGTAGAAGTTTAGTTTACCTTTCTGTCAGAAATTATTTTGAAAAACAAAGCATTAACATTATTTTAATCACGATTTTGTCTCTCAGTCACTTCATACTTTACACCTTTTGCTGAAAGTTAACAAATATTAAATAGATTTTTGAATAATTTTAGATGAAATGATTGTTTGACATTTGGGTTCCGCTGTTCATCTGGTATTAGCACTGATTGCACACAATTATAGTAACGATGAAAGTACTGGCGTTACAAAGATTTACGATTTAAAACTTTATTTTTAAACTTGTTTTACGCTATGAATTGATTTCTAGATATCTATATTCTAATGGGTTTTAATCATGTTTTAAATTTGCCACAAATTTAACTATTTTCAAAATTACTAGAATAATAGAAAACAAAAACAATGAAATATGAGATGACATTTGTATCTGTTTTGTTAGCATATTGTGTCAATTCAGAGAAATTTGTTACATTTTAAAAACAGTAGTATTTAATAAATTTTCATTATTTGTTAGATAACTATCAATTAACTATCTATTAATTAATTTTTAAAATTCTGTTATACTTATAAATATAATTATACTTAATGTTGAGATTTAATTGGGAATATTTGTCTATTGAAGAATCGGGTGAATCTAAATGTTGTAAATATTCACACATATGTTTGTGCTGTTGTCGGACCCGTAATAATCATAACTATGTTATTATTAAATAAAACACTCAAAAAACTACTCAATATATTATGTTTAATGTATGATTAAATTGATGGCAGGCATCGGACAACGGCGGGGGCAGTGAGGGGTACGGGACGGGTCGGGGCACACCTGACGAGCCGTCCATTAATGAGGGAAGTTTTGTCTCATCAAACAACTCGACTGTTGAACACAAGAGTAAGTTTTTAAATATATATGACATTTTAGAAACTCATTAAAGAAAAGCTAAATCATAAAATTTAAAATATTAATATTTTGCAAACTATTTGCTCTATTTATACGTGAAAATAACCACTAAAATGGTGCCAAAAACCAATCTACATGTGCTAATAGACAGTCGGTCGCGCACTAAAGAGCCCCGATCTATCATAAAGGCAATCAGGAAGAGGTTTAGTTTCAATAAGAATCGGTCGAAATCGATGGAAATCCGCACGAATAAGGAGTGCGAGGGAACCGGCAGTCGTGACAGCTCTGTCAGTAGCGCCACATCGAGTAGAGCCCGATCTATGCCCGGCTCGAGAGAGCCGTCGGCGCCCAAAGACGTGTTGCATAATTTGGCCGCTCGTGGTATGTGTGCATCACATCATTATTATTTTTAATAGCGCTGTATTAGTAATACAGTTGTCTATTAATAGTTGTGTGAAATAGAAATAACAATTGAAATTTTTTCCATCGTTTTACGTGTGTTTGCAGAGGAAAGACATAAAACTAATAGCTATAGATTTAATAGCGCTGTATTAGTAATACAGTTGTCTATTAATAGTTGTGTGAAATAGAAATAACAATTGAAATTTTTTCCATCGTTTTACGTGTGTTTGCAGAGGAAAGACATAAAACTAATAGCTATAGTAATATAAGCGATATAAGCGGTTACTCTACCCGTACTTTCATACACGAAAAGTCGACACTTATTGTGGAGGCGAATGAAAGCGGATCTCTTAAGTGAGTTGTCATTTATTACAACTTGTTATACAAGTTGTTCGCACATTGTCTTAAATATAATACCGTTAATAATACTGAATTGTTTTTCCCAACGGCACAGGCATTATGTATTACCGATCAGTTTGGCTAATAAGAGTAAATGGAGGCGAAGGGGACTTAAATTGCACTTATATAATGATCACTTGTTTGTAGCCAAACATCTATCCGGGTATAAATTAAATTACATTTTATTTGTTATAAAGTTTTAATAATGAAGAAAACAATTTCATTGTTTGCAATAACAATAATTGTTTGAATTTTACTTTGATTTAAAATTTTGAAAATTCTAAACACTGATAACAATGACAAAAATAATGATTATCATTATTTAATATGTATTACATTTACAGATCCATCACATGTCAGGTCTGTGACAAACTTTTCTCAAGAAGACCAGGAAAGCAAGGCTATCAGTGCAGAGGTTTTTACTACTTATTTATTTATCTGTTTTTGTTTTATTATCAATAAATGTAAAATGTTATTGAATTTCATTTGATTTGTATATATTTTAAAATCACTTATAGATTGCGATTATATGTGTCATAAAAGATGTCACATACAGGCGGACAATAGGTGTACCAAAAGTACAATATCTTCGCTGAAACTCGACTACATTACGGACCCGAAGGCCAAACCATTGGAAACTTTGAACAACATTTCGCTTGTCGTGAATGACAAGCCTTATGTGGAAAGTTGACAGAAATAATGCCGGAAAAAACACACAACAAAAATAACTTTTAATATTTTTGAAACACACGTTGTATTCATATTTTTGAGGGTAATTTGTATCATAAGAGCAGAAATATTTCCACTACTGATAGACCAATAAATCTTTTAAAATATGAATTATGATAATAACAAAAATATTTTGACAAAATATGTTTTATCTATTCGTTTATAAATATGTAACTCAATTGACAATCGATTTTGCTTTTATGTAATAAGTATTTTGTTATTTGAATTCTCATAAAAGTTATGTGCATTTTCTGTATTTCGTCCACATTTACCACAATTTAAACGTTTTGAAAGGCTTTAATGAATCTGAAAAATGCTTTTAAAAATAATATCTTAAAGTATATGACTATTTATTCGTTTAATTGATTGATATTGTATTTAATTTGTTAAATAATTAGTTGTGATTTGTATTCAGATATCTTAACTCATATACTGTATGAAAATCTAAATAAAGTTTTTTTTTATCCAAAAATATATTTTGTTAGTTTATTTCATAGGAGTCTCAATAAACTAGTTTTGTTGCTATATTTATAAGAATAGGAATTTCAAGAATTTATTCAATTCTTGTTTAACATTTGAAAACTATTTCAATATTTAAGGGGATGTACGGGTCGTTTGGGTTGTCTTGTGTTTTGTGTTTAAAAATGTGTAAATTATGAGTTTATTTTAAATTGTATTGAAAACAATGTAAATTTATTGAAAAACTTATTAAAACATTTTCTTATCTCATTAAATGTAATTTTATTAATATTTTGGTTTCATTTATTGCCGTGAATTACATTTGCGAGTAATTAAATGTTTTTTATCGCATCCAAAGAGCGTTAATCCAAATATTTATTTATTTCACTGAAACTTAATATTAGATTTCTTGGGATTCAATGAACTTAAATACAATCTCTAATCTGTAATAAACATATATTAAAAGACAAATCACATGTTTTTAAACTATACTTTTATTTAACATAATAAAAACGTGTATTTCATAACTGTTTTGTAATTATTATATAATTTTTAATTTGTTTTAATAATTATTTAAACAAATGTTTATATTGATATATTAATACACAATGTCATTTGTTTTAACTTATTTATAATGTTTTTATTTTAACAACAATATTTACTCTTTATTTAAATATTGTTTTTACATTAATGAAAATATTTGTCTAAAATTTAAGTAGAATGTGACAGGAATTTAGTCAAAATATTTCAATTTTGCACAAAAATATGTTTTGTTATTTAACATTTCAAAGTTATTTATAAAATACAATTTTGAAATATATTTTTGAGCAATTGGTTAGTATTTAGGGAATACCAGTGTTATTACTAAAACTTATTTTATTATATATTTTATCAGTAAAAGTCATCAAGATCATGTCAATAAACATTTAAATTTCTGATATCTGTGTGTTATGTTTTGATTACATGAATAGTTGACAAACATTTCTTTACTTTAACACCGATTGACACTCAATGGAAATTTTTTAAGTACAGTATTTACAGTATTATTAATTGTTTGTGATTTTATGAAAGTAAAAGTAAATGTTGAATATGGTCAAAGGTACTACATCAATGCATTATGCAATTTAAACATCATTTACAAACACAATAATACATTAAAACTCGTATATAAAAGTTATCTTGTTGTTAAGTAAAATAGCAATGGAATAAGCAAAATTATAAATTATGTTAAAAATATCTGGTTAAATTTAATGTTCACATAATTAGCATTGAGGTTTATTTATAAAACTTAATATCAATGCACGGTATATGTAGAGTACAGATAATTTATTGATTAGACGCTGATTAGTAGTGAAATAATTTAAGAAATACTATATTTATCGCAATATTTCACATCCAATACAAGGAATTCATAGCAAACTGAATGGTAAATATAATCTCGATATTATTGCTGATCTAAACATAAGATTTGAGTATCCAATCATATTTGTCACGAAGAAGTGGTTATGGCCTCTAAATTGTACTGTCATTACCAGAGGAGATGTGTGACAGAGAAATGCAAATCAATTATTATATGATAAACACATCATTTATCGGCGTATTTATATGACTGCATAAATCATAAAACGGCTGTTTTTCTCATATATTCTTAAATAAAAATACAAATATTTGAGATCTAACAAGTGTAAGTGTTAAACCGATGCAAAGACTAACCGCCCTCTTCTTCCACTACAACTGGTGTATTGATAATATAATTCATATGTAATATCAGCTAAATATATGGTTATAACTTACGATTTGTTAGTGGGCATATGGTTTAAGTTTTTAATTTCAGTTTTTAAGTTATCTCTGATATAGATTTGTGAAATTTTGACTCATATTAATAAACATAGGAATATTCCCGTATTTTTCGCTTCTGGACTAAATGTTTATTTGTAAACTGAATTAATTTTTTGTATAAAACTAAATGTTGTGCACAATTATATAAAATAAATATAGTTACCGATTATTACTATATAATTGTAACTTATTATTTGAAAATTGCTGAATACATTGTACTAAACAATTGGTACAAAACATTTATTTGATAATAACATTGAATTAATTGCATCGGATCTCAAAATAAGTTGAAGTGAAATATGTATTTAACAGTAAAAATATTAGCAATAATTTATTTGTTTGGAGAGTCGGGTGCTCTAAATATTGATCACTTTGAAGGCAAGTATAACTGTTTTATTATTTATTACATCCTTTTATTTTTTAAGAAATCAAATTAACACACATTTCCTCAAAGATAAAAAGCCTATTCAGACAGAAATAGCTGTTAATAGCCTTGGATTGGGATATAAAACAAAGGCTGACATGAAATCCAATTTTAAATTTTTAATAAAATAAATGATTGTTAGAAAATAGGGCTTAAAAATAGTAAAATGACATTTAATAATCAAATATCAATAAAATCGATTAAAATTGAAATAATAAAAATAAAAATTACTATTTAATGTAGTGCATTGTTTTCTGTATTTCAAGTTAAGCCTACTGTAAAATGTAGTATAAATTATGTTTATAGCAAAAACTATCTTGATTATTCATTAAACAGTGTACAGAAAAAATATTATGATAATTGTTTACTATAAACTATTATTAACTGTGTGTTTTGAGTAAAATTTATTGTTCTTATAAGTTTATTTTTAGCTAAATATAAATATTTAAGTTAAATAACATTGTCAAATAACAATATTGTCAAATAACAATAATTACTTAAAATAATCTTATAAATATCACAAAATAAAATTTTTTTAATTAGTTATTTTTAAATTTTGTTGGACTAGAAATTTTACTCTCCTTTTCTATTGTTAATCAAAATAGTTATAAAAATGAACGTTTATTATATAAATGCTTAGAAATGATGAATTTTTTTTAGTGCATTTTAACCACTAATTATATGGTGTGAAATATCAGGAGATCCTTACAAATATCACTTTTGGGAAGTACTCGAGAGATTAATTCAATAAACAAATGTACTTTACTTTTTGAACAGTGATTGCGAATTAAGTCCAGAATATTTTCCACACTTTTACTAGATTTTTATCAATAAATATTTAAATAACACTTTTACTGTATATAAAACAGGTAATCATAAAACACTAAACGACAGCATTGAGAACAAAGACTCAATTTTGGTCACAAATCACGACAAAAGCGGAAACAATAGCACAGATGCAAACAATGAGACCATTGATTACCGAAAGGTTATCAAACAATTGCCGACTACTATAAGCTTGAAACATGTTAAAGGTATGGAGCAAATGCTATATCACAGATACATTGCACTATAATTGTAATGATTGAATAATGATGATAATTTGTAACAAATTGTGTGGACAGAATCGATGGATAAGGACACGGCGTGTTGTATGTTAGGCCAGATAGCGGGTGATAAGGGCTATCACTGCCACGCGATGTTCTATGGCTTCAATATATTGGAGCGAAACACGAATCGCGCCCACAATCAGAAACTACCCTTTTATGGTCAGTTGTCTTACAATGATTGCAATTATCTATTTATATGTCAAGTAATTAATGCAAATACTTATTCATAGGAAGAGATAAAATGCCTCATTTTGGCGAAAAATTGATGCTTAAATTTGAGAAATGTTTGACCAAAAAGGGCCACATTTTCAATAAGTGCTGTCATTGGGCGGCCAATGATAGGCAGAATTTGTTGAATCCTCAATACAATACATTACAACACTATTTATATAATCGCCAACAACGTGGTGGAAATTTGTAGCTAAATTTTAAGTCAATCATGTATTTAACCACACAATTAAAATCATTTTTATATAAATCTTAATTAACGTTAATATAAACAGTAAGAATTCAACATTCTTTAAGTTTTTGTTTCATATGTTTAAAACATTGAAATACATACTGTATATCATATGACTTATGCTTACAAAACGTATGATAATTTTATGTCCTTATTCATTGTAATCTACAATTTATTTATAGCTTTAATTTTATAAATATTTAATTAACGTACAATCCATCGGATAAAGTGTAATGGAATTAAATATAATAATAATACTGATTGTATTACTAATAAAGTATGATGGATACTTTTATGATAACTTTACCATATTATAATTTTGGCATTAGTTTATCAAACAGGATACAGATATGACTGTAGTTTTAATATAAGATGATTATAAATCACATTTCCTGTCACTATTTAACTAATTTGATTGTATCTAATTTATAAACATATATTAAAATCAATTATAATTACTAATTATTATTAAACAAAATAGAGGATATAATAATTAATACAAGATTGGGATGAAATTTAATTTTTATTAATTTGTTACAAATCAACACAATAACAATATATAAGTTTAAATCAATGATATAACTATTGCTTAATGTCTTTGTAATGAGTATAAAAAATCATTTAAAAAATGTTTAGCACATAATGTGTGGTAAAAAATATAATGTGACAAATGAATGACAATTAAAACAAGAATATGAATTTAGTCTCATATTTCGCCAACACTTGTATAAAAATACAAATCATATTATTATTAATTATAAAATAGATGACTAAAAATCACTTCAAAAATTAAATGGCAATTGATTTCTCAAGTAATCAAATAAACATAATTTTCAATAAAACATCAAATATATAAAAACATTAATCATAAAAAACAAATTAAATTAAAGCCAAAAACTGGTCGATCACTCGCTTTCTCTCTATAATCTCATAATTAGTGGTGAAGTTTAGAAGACTTCGCAGCGATCTTTGTTTCCGGGCCGACATCTGCCCACTGACTGGACATAGACCTGATCGGCGGGACAGTGATGTGTGAGCGCCCGGAGGCTCTTATTGGCGCGACTGATGGGAGCGCACACCACAAACATACCGCAACTCTGCGGGTGGGCGTGAACTCCACGTTTGCCGCAACCAATCTTTCCGTCATTCTCGGAGAATATCGCCGGTCCGTCGAACTGAGTGGCCGGCGCTTCGGTGGCCGGAGCGGCCGTCTGTCGACGCGACGGTCTCTGAGTGGTCACAGCGGACACGGGTTGCGGTTGGGGTATCGGACGCCGCGTTCGCACCGCTCTGAGGGGCTGTTGTGTAGTGGGCGGGGGAGGCGGGGGTCGGGTCGGGGGAGCTGTGGTCGGTGGCGGCGGTGGGGCCGGCGTTGTGGTGCGGAAGGCGTTCTCGAGATCGAAGTAAGGGATGGCGGGTGTAGTGAAGAGCGCGATATCGAACTCAGGCGGAAGTGTGTTATAATTGGTGAATCGCGGCGGTTGTGGTCGGAACTGATTGTATAGCGTTGTGGGCGCCGAAGTGGTGGTCAGTGGCGGCAACTGGTCTTCGATGGGCTGAGGTCTGTGCGGTCTTGAGTTTTGCAATGCGTTGGAAGCTCTGGGCGGGAGGTTTATGAGCGCCGACACCGGGTTTTCGTCGGCGATTGGCTTCAGATTGAAACGATGCGGAAGACGGCGTCGAAGTGGCCGTTGAGTTGTGGGCACTTCGGGTATGGGTTGTGTCTGCGGGAGAAGGGGTTGCGGTGCGAACGCCGGCCCGAATTGTGGCCTCAATTGTGGCGGTGATTGCGTTACGACCTCTTCGTCGTAAACAACTCCCGATTGCGGCCGTTCTGTGGCCGTAGAGAAAGCGCTCTGAACTCTGATCCTTCGCGCCGACTGTGGGTTTCGTTGGGTATTTTCCAAGGGATCGACCGGCAGTCGGACCACTCGATCGCCGGTCACTCGCTCGCCGGCGCTCACTCTGACGGGCACTCTATAGACTTGACTCGATTGGGACTGAGCCTGAACTCTGGGCCGATCGACGGGCGACTCGTTGGCAAAGACTGTCCTCGAGTTGGTCGGCGCCGACAGTCTTTGGGACGATGTGTTGAAACGCTGAAGGGATGGCCTGGAAATGGACGCCTCATTGAACGCGTTCTCGGAAACAGCGGCTGACGTTCGGCCGCCCGGAGTGTTATACGAGAAGGTAAAGGGCTGTGCGTTGGGATTGTCTCCTCCAATGTTGACGTTTGCGTTATTATTCCTCGAGTTCTTCGGCGTCTCGTAGAAGGAGAAGATGGGGTTAATAGTAGTGAGCGATGAGTCAAACTGCGGCCGACGCGGTCGCGCGTAACTCTGCGGCTCGCGTCTGGAGTCGGGCGTGAATATCGACGTCTCGGTGAATGTCTGCGGCGATAGTGTGTTGTCCTGATGTCTATTGGGTGTCACATAAGAGGGCGCGAAGAAGTTGTGTGTCGTCGCCGGCGATGACTTGTCGTCGTCGAGAAGGAATCCTCCCGATTGGAGGAGGGATTGGATTTTGTCGACACCGCCGAGCGATTGGATCAGATTAACCAATTGCGAGGCGTCGTTACTATTGCCCGACGATTGGGCGTTATTCAACTGCCTTAAAGCGGTGGACAGGAGCTCAACGTTGGCCCTATCGCTCAGATCAAAGGGCGGATCCGTTGGCGCCTCTGTTGTGGTGGTCGGCGCCGGAGTGGTAGTGGTTGTAGTGGTAGTCGTGGTTGTCGTGGGCTTTGTCTTTAGGGGTTTAGGTTTGCGAGTTGTGGGCTCTTCTCGGGGAGGCTTTTTGCAGCTGACATTATCGGGATAATCACACGCTTCGCTATTCTGGTTGAAGTACAGACCCGACGGACACGTGAAGGCGTGGGCGACTATACCGAGATTGGCGGGTCCGCTGTCCAGACACCAGAAGTATTTGCGACAGTCTTTGGGATTATTGAAAAAGCCCTCGTCTTCGCACTCAAAATTCCCGCCCGGATCGGGAGTCGGCGGCGGTTCAGGTGTTGTGAACTTCTGGACAGTTTCTTTGAAAGTGGGCGCAGGGGTTGTCGTAGTAGTGGTGGTCGTCGTTGTGGTAGTGGTTGTGCGCGGAGTTGTTGTGGTTGTAGTTCTGGGAGTTGTCTGAAACTGAAATCGTCTCAATTGATTGCGACGAGTGTTGACGTTAAGTGCGGCCAAAGCCGCGGTCGCCACCGACTCTTCGTTGGGTACGCTCTGAGGACCGGTACGTGAGAATCGTGACGAAGATCTTTCGCTGGCCCTCTCACTGGACCTATCGCTGGCTCTCTCAAGCGATCTCTCGCTGGAAGAGCCCTCCACTATATTGTTGGCGAGCGCTGTCTTCACGGCATTCACGAGCGGACTCTGCTCTCCATAGCAGAGGCCCCGGAAGTCGTCGTTGTCGAGCGTCCATATCATAGCCCCTCCCAAACCCTTCTCCAGAATATATCGCACTTTGTGTTCAATACTCTGGATGTCGTCGTAAGCGACCCATTGGTTGCCATTATAAGAATACGGGCCCTCTATTTGCGGGTGCGGTCTCTGTGTAGCCCAACCTTCCTCTTCGATCTTTTGGCAAATCTCATAGAAAGCCAAATATCCCTTCTCTCTGGTGGAGACACCGGCCTCTCCCGGGCCCTCAGCCGTCGCCTGAAGACCATTCTTGTTAGGGTCGGCCAAAGTGAATGAACGCC